ATTTTTTTTTTTTTTTTTTTTTTTTTTTTTGGTTTTTGAGACAGGGTCTTACTATGTTGTTGAGATTGACCTGGAACTCACTGTGCAGCCCAGGCTGGTCTCAACCTCACAGCGATCCTCCTGCTTCAGCCTCCCGAGTGCTGGGATTATGGGTGTGCAACACCATGCCCAGCTGGACTCCAACTTTTGATCCTCCTGCCTCGGCCTCCCTGCCTGCTTGGATTATGAGTGTGTGTCAGACACCATGCTCAGCGAGGGTGCCGTAATATTAATCTGAGGATGGGGCAAGTGAATAAAGTGGAACTACATTCTCCTACGAATTAGAGCTGTTTCAACTGAAAGATCCCTCCCTGTACATAATGAAAAGAATAAAGTAAGATGGTATAGGGCATAATTTTATGCTCCTTTATACTTAAAATTAAGCCTTTCTTTGGAACCCTGAAAGCCACATCAGTGAGAGTGCACCTCTGGCAGTGCTGTGGAGTTTATTCTGCTTATGTGAGATACGTCAGACTTGCTGCCAGGAAGAGGTTTCATCTGTGTCCTCTCAAATCAGCGTGGACAGAGGTATGAACATTATGAGCAAGAAAGTCACCCTCTTTTTAGACAAAGTAATGTTACTTTATCACCCAGCTGGAAGAAAGCAGGACAACAACTTTCTTATGTCGAAGTGGTTGGGCTTCATGCAGAGTAGTGGGACTTTAGAATCTATAACACACGCAAATTATAGAACTGTAGAAGAAAATGGAGGATTCTCAAGGAAAGCCTTTGTAGACAGACCTGTACTCCAAGTCCTCAACTTTTCTAAGCGCAAAGCCAGTTGACAGGACTCGGGGCACAGGACATTTGGTGGCCACAAACATGAGCCCCCGCCCCCAAAACGGCGAGCAGCCTTACCTGTTTCATTTTTTCAAGTTCCTCTTTGAGAAGGAGGTTTTCCTGCTCCACAGTGTGGGTCTGTATTTTCGCTCGAGAAAGTTCTGCCTCCAGGGAAGACACTAAAGTGGAAGACTGAGTGGACAATAAAGTCACAGGACAGACAGACTCACGCAGGCTGGAGGTGCTGACTAGGCGCACAGAGGTAGTGGTAGAGAGACACTGACACTGATTCAACAACAGCTGTTTCATGGCCCTTTATCTGTATGTTCCATGGTTCTACCCAGTGCTATCCTCAAAGACTTTCCTAACGTCGTTTTCCGTGTTTCTCCACCAAAAGTGTCTCTTGGGAGAGACCCTTTCAGACTATGCCAAGCCTGTTCCTCCTAATTTTAGCGTCTGGCCATGGATTTTGGCTACAATACTTAGCTGTTTGCTTAAGTATGGTTTTCTGGTTTTTTTTTTTTTTTTCTTTCTACACTTACTAGATGTCTGTAAGAAAGAACTGTTGAGCCCCAGAAATTTAATCAAATTTTGTTAATATGCATTTAGATATTTATTCAATTCTGTATTTTATAATTATATTTGCTTTATTCTATACTTCCTTTATCCTCATCAAACTGTTCAAAAGCTCCTTCAGGTTGGGGCCTGTGCTCTTTTGACTTGTCCCATCTGCTTTGTGTTTTTGGTACCGGGGATCGAACTTGGGACCTTCTGCTTGTGAGGCAGGCAGCAGCACCACTGAGCTAAGTCCCCGGCCCGTGTCCCATCTGTTTTTAAAAGCACATTCTTCTTCTTGGCACCATGAAATGTTCTAAGCTCACCTTGTGTTTTCTCAGTGCCAGCTGTGTAATCAGTTATCTCTCCAAGGAATCCTGGTTCCTTCTGCAGGAGAATTGGTGTTTAGAAACCAAGATTGGTGTACCCCACGTAAATACACACCACCGTGTCTCTGTGTCTGTCTGGCTCTGTATCTATAGTTCTCAGACCTCAGACCCCAGGCCAACAGCAGAGGGTTCATCTCAGCCTTCACTGCCACTTTCTTCTCCAGCCGTGAGGAGGCCAGCTCTCACTCTCTACAATATAGTTCCTTACCTGTTCAATTCTAGGATACGTATAAAGCAACTATAGAGTCACTAACTCCCATCTCCAAGAGAATCACAGTTACTGACCAGATTATTCTAGTATTTACGTACAGTTCTTTTATTGTCTTTAGCCTGAACAACATGTAGTCAAGATAATTTCCAAATTACTTTTTTCCCTCCCCGGTGTGGTTTATTAGTCTCATTCTTAGATTTGGTTGTTAATGTTTGTGTTCCATTTTATTTTGCCCCAGGCCCCGATCTTGATTGGTGTTACTTGTGCATTTATTTTGAGAGTATCTGAAGACTGAAACACGATAAGGCATGTAGCTTGGTGGGAGAACACTTGCTTAGCAGGCCCGAGGCCCTAGGTTCATCCCTCCCTTTGAGAATCCCAGCCATATGCAAAGATAAATTTAGAGAAGTGCCGCGCCCTTTCTCATCCCTGTAACTACATTCCCATTCCTCTGTCCCTCACTTTCTCACCACCTTCTATTCTGTAGCAGTTTCGTCAGTTTCTGGTTAATTGTTTTGTATTTTAGACCTTCTGTTCCATTTATCTGCCTGGCATGGATACTGATGTACCACTATCATACTGTTCTAAGTATTAAGGCTTTGTGGATAAGAAATTTATTATGAGAATTTCTTGCATTTCTTTGTATTTTCTTACAAACCTACTGGGTGGCACTGATCATACCTGTACTTTATAGTGTTCCAGCTCTTTTTTCAGATTAGACTTTTCCTGTTCCCATTCCTTGAATGTACTGTTTCCTGGCTCTTGCTCCTTCTGGCATTGCATTTCTGCCAGACGCTGATTAAGTTCTTGCAGTTCTTCCTGGTTTTCAGAATTCTTTTGGCTAAGTTCTGTTTTTTCTGAATCCAACTGTTGGTTTTTGATTTTCAAATCTGAAATCTAATTAAAATTGAAATAAATTTTTAAAATTTCTTACCCTACTTCTACTGAAAGACAGATTTAGGGTCTATTTTTCCCTTTCTATGTAAAGTTTTAAAAGAAATGTACGCATGTAATAACAGAAGTACTACGTACTCATTATTACAAATTCAACCAATTCAGAAGTGCATGGAGAAGCCTGACACCAGTCTAACCCCACTCCACGGGGCATGCAACTAGATCATTTCCTGTGCATACACAAAACCCATATATACACAGAGGTTCTTATTTTAGGAAAAAAATTGGATCATTTTATATTTGGGTGGCCCATTTTTTTTCCACTCACAATATCTTACAGATGCTTATCTTTTTCCAAGTTGGTGTGTTCAGAAACTACCACATGCTATATTTTTAGCAGCAATAGGATATTCTGTGTAGCAAGATTTTCCATAATTAATTGATCCATTCTTGCACTGATAGGAATATAGAGGGCCAGGGATGTAGTTCGGTGGCATTGTGCCTGCCTCATAAGTGCAAGGTCCTGAGTTTGATCCCCGGTACCAAAAAAAAAAAAAAAAAAAAAAAAAAAAAAAAAAAAGTTGTTGATAGGAATATAGTTTTTTCCCATCATTTCCTTTAATTAGCAAGAAACAAAATAACCTACTGGAAAATCCACTTGCACATGGTAGCATCTTGTATGTGGGATCTTTTTTTAAGAAGTGGGTTTGCTGGGTTAGAAGGTGTGCATACATATTATTGTTCTGACAGATGTCCCTGAAATGTCTTGCTTATAGTGCTACCAACTGATAATCTCATCAATGATGTATTTCTCATTTCCTCATACCCTTTTAATTCTGAATGATATTAATCTTTAATTTTTTTCTAGCTTATTTGGGAAAAAAGGAATCTCATTTAAATGGGCCTAATCACTATGAGGCTAGCCATCTATTTATATGCTGTGTGGTTTCTTCGTCTGTTTTGTTTTGTTTGGGTACCAGGGACTGACCTCAGGACCTTGCACGTGTGAGGCAGGCAGCAGAACCACTGAGCTAAATCCCCAACCCCTTATGTTGTGTGTTTTGATGATCTGATCATTCATATTGATTGCCTGTTTTCAACAGATTTTGCCATTTATTTGTAAGAGTACAAAATATACCTTGGATATTGACACCTTGGCTACTTCAAGTGCTGAAAATATTCTTTTCCCAGAATATCCTTGTCTTTTGACTCTTTCACATATTCTTAAATGGCCTCCCTATATTTCACTGGTTATTGTAAGATTATATAAAATGAGCATTGATAGGCACAAGCCATCTGAATAAATCATAGTTCTGTGAAGTGATATGCTGATTAGCTGGTGTTCTACATCTGTGAAATTCTATCCTTGACTTTCTGCTTTTAGTCTCGTTTTAAAAAAAAAGGAAGGAGGTAACATTAGTAGAAACTACTCAAGGGCTGGAGCTAGTATTCACAGGAATGGTACAGAAATACCATCTCTCCATTCCCACTGGCTGTAAGGCTTAAGCACTGAGGCTCTACAAATAGTATATACATTATTTTCCAAAATACAGCAATCTAATTTAGACTCAATATAAAGTTTTCATTTTTAAATTAAAAAGTTACAGGCTTATATCATTAGTAATATTCTAGCAACATATTTTTATTTCAAATAAAAAAAGAAAATTTTAGAATCAAGTAATATAGGAAAATACTGTTTCATTACCTGTTTCTTCAAAGTTTCAACCATCTTCTGAATTTCCACTTTTTCCTGTTCTACAGTTTCTATTTTCTGCCTAAAGAAACAATGAAAATTTAATTTAGGAGTTAGGTTTTAAAAATTGAAGTAAAATAGCTTTTTAGTTTTGGTTAAATGTCTTAAGAAAATTGAAGTGTGTACTATGTCTTACCACAGTTCTTCCTGAGATCCATTTAATTTCACGTTAGAAACGCTATCTTCTTCATTTAAAGTAGTAATTTCACTTCTCAAAATAGAATTTTCCTCTTGAAGCTTTTCAGATTCATATCTGAAGTACAGAGATATTTTTAAAAACTTACAAGGCAGTCATCTGGCATCTTTGGAAAATATTTTCTAGTAACTTTCAATAAAGTAAGTATTCCATGCCAGTCAGAAGGAGAAGTCTAAATTAGTAGTCTCTTAGTACTTGGAAATTAACTTATGACATACTGACTCATTTCTGTGGGGAAGCAGGAATTTCGCTAAAAGACGTCAGAAAAGTATGGCTACAAAACACGTGAGCACGAAGACGGCTTGGGACAAGTGCCAACTGGCTGGTTGGTTGGTTGGTTGGTTGTTTTTTGAGACAGGGTCTCACTGTGTAGTTCAGGCTGGTCTTGAACTCGCTATGTAGCCCAGATTGGCCTTGAACTCGTGGTATTCTTCCTGCCTCAGCCTCCCTAGCATGGGAGTACAGGTGTGTGCCACCAAGCCCAGCTGGCTGTTGGTTTTTTTTTTTTTTCCTTTTGGTATTGGGGATTGAACTTGGGTCCTTGTGCTTGCAAGGCAGGCCACCAAACCGCTGAGCTAAATCCCCGGCCCTACTGTTGGTTTTCTTAATGGTGGGCACACTGCTTTGAGCAAGGATTCCATTTATCTCAGCCTCAACTCCTCCTCACTCTGAACTCACATACGCTGTATTACCAAGATGCAAGAGCTTTCATTTTGGGGCCCTAGGGACTTATGGAAAGAAAACTTAATACACAAGTCAAAGGGCCACACTGAAATACATATACTCTTTACTTTCTGACTTTTCATCTCATTACACATTCTGGTGTTTTGAACTAAAAATGGTCTCAGGAGGAGGAATAACTACACTCAGAATTAAAGAATTGCTTCATACCATTAATACACTAAAGATATAAAGCAATATTTTACAAATTTTTTTAAAAAACGAGTTTTGCTAGCAGACTAATGCAGTCAGATTTCAAGTGAGTATGGTTCCAATGGTTTCTGCCTCTGTCTTTATTCCTCAAGTACATTTATTAGACTCCTGTGACTTCCTGGTAAAATTATATGCTCTAAGATAAATTTTCATTGTTATAGGATATCAGCATGCACCTTGATTTAAGTGAAGAACTATTTTTTCCTGTGTTAGTATAAGAAGAGAGTTCTTAGCTACCATGGGAGTTAATAATACACAAAAGGCATTCACTCTTGTGTATGTTTCATCCAAATGAGTAAAGTAACGAACATTGAGCAAAATAACATCTCCATTCAAACGCAGCAAGTGCTAGCAGGGAGTGGAGGATGCAGGCTGATGACGCACTGGTTAAACAGCACACGCTTGCCACGTTGCACTTTCACACCCTTTATGCACGACAGTCATTGGCTATGAGGAAGGGAAGGCCGCCTAGTGAGGTTATTCTACTTGTTAGTTAATATGACACAGAAGCAGAAGGAAGGCTAGGGTACTGCCCTCTTCTTCGAGACTAACAGGTTAGTTTCTTTAGGCAGGACAAGCAGCAGAATTAGAGCCGACCGGCTGCTCTGCGGGATTCCGCGAGGCCTAGGACGCACACACATTACCTCAGAACTTCAACTTTCTGCTGCATCTCACTGCATGTGCTTTGCAGGTCATGCATCATGGCCTTCAGCTCTTCCTCTTTCTCCGCTGGACAAGGGACATCTCTTTGCTTAACTAATGTAGTGACTCGCTCCCTCAGCTTTCTAGTCAGCTCCTGAAGCTTTTGTTTCTCTAATTCTAACTCTGCTATTGTGGCCTGACGTTGAAAATGTTTGTCTTGGACCAGGAGAGCAGAGTTTCTCTCTAGGATAACCTGATTCTGCATTCTGGGCTTTTCTTGATGTGTCCCGACTGTTCTGTGCAACAAGGAAATTTCATGTGTTTTGGCCTTTTCCAAGAGCTGCGTGGTTCTTTGCTCAAGGCACTGGTTTCCTTGTTTACATTCTTCTCTGATGTGGCCTACTCTCATAACTTTGGGCATGCACTTTTCCAGCCTCTGACCCAGTTCTAGAACCTGTTCTGCAGCTTTGACTTCCAGGTCGTCCAAAGAGGCTTCCCAGAAGGAGGAAGAGCCACACTGCAGGGCTGCTCTTTCCTGCAGCTCCTCAACCTTCCCTTGGAGCCTCAAAACCAGAACATTCAGCTCTTTGTTTTCTGTTGTGACCTCCTCGTAACTCTTTTCCAGGCTAAGGTACGTTTCAGTCACTTCCTCCACTTTCTTTAGCTCATCCTGCAACCGGAACACTTCTGTGGTGAGTTCTCTGTTGCTTTCCAGAGCCTGGTCGTAGCGAGTCTCCATCACTCTCAGCTCTTCCTGAAGGCAGGCGTTCTCTCTGCTAGCGTCTTCGTACAACAGCTTGTACTGGGGAGACACCTCCGGGATTCTCTCGAGCATCTTCAGTTTCTTTTTTAATGTAGAAACATCAAAAAGCAGGTCCTGCTTCTTTTCAGAGGCCCGGTCACAGTCTGCACGTAAGATCACTAGCTGCTGCCGAAGCTGACTAACCTGATTTTTTAGATCCCAGGATTCAGTCCTGGTCTCTTCACTGTTCTCAAGCTCGGAAAAACTCTCCATGGAGGCTTCAGACTCTTCAGTTTTGAGGCCCTGTCTCGGAGCTGAGCTTGTCCCTGTACTTCCCAGGTCGCCCACCTCACCGACTTGCAGATCACTTAGGGTTCGACTCATGGTTCCACCTTCTAGTCGCTTCCTTTGGTTTTGCAACAAAAAAGGCTCTGAGTGCTCTGCACAGTTTCCAAAAAGCTCAGTAGCTGGCTCCTCTAGACAGGACGACATTAGCGACCCCGGCTCTAGTTTTTGCAGCCTGTGCTGCAATCTGGAAATCTCATTGGCCATTGTCACATTTTCCTTCACTGCGCGCTCGTGGGCTCTCTGCAGGCTCAGGAGGACGTCTCCGTTTTCCTCCAGCAGCTGCTCCCCTTGCTGAACCAGGGACAGGGCTCCATCTCCCTCGGCCTTCTCCCCTCCGCTGGCCTGGCAGCCGCCAAGAAGCCGGGAGGCGGGAGATGCTGCCCGCCGCAGGTCCTGTACCTCCTCTCGGAGCCTGCGGATCTGGTCGCCCATCTCCGCCCGCTGGCGCTCTGCCGTCTCCTGGGTGGCGCGGTGCGCGCTCTCC